GGGAGAGCGGGGGGCTGCCCGGGCTGGCCGCCAGCTGGCGGCGCCCAGGCCGCAGGGGCACGAAGTTTTGGCGCAGCCGCACCGTCTGGTACCCGGCGATGTCCCTGTGGGAAGCAAGAGGTGGTGGGGGGAGTTAGGACATCTGGGTTCCCCTTGGCTCCGGGAGGAGAGGGCAGCCAGGGCTCTACGTCACTGCTGGACTGGGGCAGAGCCTGAATGCTGTGGTCCCCGACCTGCTCTGGCGGTGGGGGGTGGCAGGCACCTGGGTTCTTGCCCAGGTTCTAGGGGGGCAGCCAGGACACCTGCGTTCTATACTGGCATTGGAGGGGAGCCAGGGCTGGGATTTAGGACTCCTGGGTTCTGTCCCAGCATTGGGAGGGAAACAGGATCCAGTGGGTTGGAGGGGGGTGGGGAAGGAGAGGTGGAGAGGGGTCACTCACCCCACGGTGATGGTCTTGGGGCTGCACAGCCCGGCACCCTCCATGTGGAGGACAGCCCCCTTCAGCGTCTGAGGCAGCGGGTTCTTGAAGACGATCTGGACATGGGTCTCCTGCCCCACTATGGCTGGGCCCACCAGCTGCAAGGCACCAAGGTGAGGACCCAGACACCCGGGTTGGCTCCCCTCCTCCCACTCTCTCTCCAAGGCCCCTCACTTCATATCAGCGCGAGATCCACAATGCCACCTCCCCACCCAGGGGTCCAGGTCAGCGGGGTCTGAGGCCTGGCATCCCCTCACCCCCCCCAGCATTCCCAGCATTCCCCAGCAATGAAAGAACCCAGGTGTCTGGGAGACTATGACTGACCCTGCCCTGCAAAGGAACCCAGGCATCTGGGTGGTCTGACAGTAAGCCTCATCTCCCTTCCCCCTCACATGCTGAGAACCCAGGCATCCAGGTGACCTCATCTGCACTCCCCTGCCCCCCCTCCCCACATTCCTCCTGCCTTGGCGAGAGAACTCCGGTGTCCCAGGGACCCTTCCTGTGAGCCTGAGCTGCATTCCCACCCCACCACGCAAAGGAACCTGGCTGTCTGGGTGGCTCAGCCTTGACCCTGATGCATGTTCCCATCCCGAAACCCACGTGCGAGAGCCCAGGTGCCCGGGGGTCCCGACTTGGGCCCCCCACAGCGAGAGAACCCCGGCATCTGGGCGGGCGCGTACCGTGAGGGTGAGGTCAGGCGTGCGCAGGCGGAAGTTGTGCTGCTTGGCCAGCACCTGCCCGGTCTCAGCCACCTTCCCTGACACGCTCAGCTTCATGGCGCACTGGTCCACCATGTGCGGCTGGTACTCCGCGTACGACACCACCAGGGGCACTGTCTGGGCTGGGGGGGCAGGAGGCAGGGTTAGACTTAGCAGGGGGCAGGGCCACAGCCAGGTGGTGGGGCCATGGCTAAAGAGGGTGGGCATGCAGGTGGGACTACTCCAGGGATCCTGGTACAGGGGGCGAGGCCACTACCAGGGGCTGGGGCCACGGCTTGGTGGAGCGGAGCTCACCCCAGCTAGGTAGGAGCTGGACCCAGTCGGGGAGGGCAGGGCCAGAAGCCAGGGCTTGAGGATGCGGGGCCATGAGTGAGGGGCAGGGCCATAACCCAGGTCTTGGGGGCAGGCGGTGGGGTCACACTGGCATGGAGGACTGGGGCAGGGGTGGGGCCAGAGCCCCAAGTCATGGGGTTGGGGCCCCATGGCAGGGGACAGGAGTGCAGGGTGGGGCACAGAGAGTGGGGTCCCAGGGGCAGGGGCCGGGTCTCATTGGCATGAAGGACTGGAGCAGAGCCCCATGGCAGGGGGCAGGAGCACAGCAGGGCCCAGGGGTTGGGGCACAGGGCTTACCTCCGTTGGGCGGGAGCTCGACCTGGCGGCGCTCCTGCTTGACGACGGGCCCAGCAACACCAGTGTAGTAGGTGATGGCCACGTGCAGGTTGAGGCTGACGGAGCGGGGCCCGGTGCTGCGGTTGGTCAGTGCCACACTCAGGTGCATGTCCTGTCCCGTCACTGCTTCGGTGGCCTCCACGCTCACCACCACGTCCTCGCCGCCACTGCGCCCTGCATACACGTGTGCCTTGGTGCCATAGCGGGCTGCTGTCTCCACCGCCTTGCGCTCCGCCTCTGAGCCTGTGGGGGAAGACACACGGGGGTGCACCACATGTGAGTGTGCCCAGGTGTGGGTCGCATCCCCAATGGCACACCTGCACATGAGTGTCTGACGGGGTGAGTGTGTGAGATTGTGCACACTGCAGCCAATCATAAAAATGCACCCTCACATGCACAGGTGCAGTCGTGTGCCAAGGGCCCAGATGCCCATGGTGCAAATCCACACGCATGTACAAGAGGCATGCAAGCACACCCCCGATGGGTGCGTGCAACAGTGAATGCACATGAGCACGTGAGGGCAGGTGGTCACGTGCCCCCAGAGGGGGCATGGCCGGACCCCACAGCTTTGCACAAGGGGCATGCGAGGGGGTGGGGCCTACCCTCAGGGTGCTTGTAGAGGTGGGTGATGTCGTGGCGCTGGTGCGAGCCCGCGGCCTTGGTGCTGATGAGGCGCCCGATGGCATTCTCCTCCACGTACACGATTTTGAAGTTGCCATCGGCCTGGCGCTGCCAGTATACCTTGTCGCTGTTCACCTGGTGCCGGAGAGGCGGGGTCAGGGCAGACCCGCCCCAATGCCTACCATCCTCCCAGCCTGGCAGGAGCCCATGCCTGCCCCTCATGACACCTCCCATCCCTTGCCTTGGCCCCTGCCCAGTGCTCCCAGTACCTCGGCAAAGATGAAGGGGGCATCGTACTTCAGGTAGACCAGCCCATTCTTGATGGCTTCCACGGGGCAGGGCCCACAGCAGAAAATCCCTGGGGGAGCGGGGAGAAAGGGGATGAATGGAGTGGTTCCCATATCCAACCCCTGCCCTGGGGTTCCTGGGTCTGGTGGTGGCACCCTGAGGCTCTGCAGGAGCCTGGACACCCTGATCCCTCTCCCTATGCCTGCCCTGCTCTTGACCCACAGCCCCCCACCTACCACTGCTGGTCTCCTGGGGGGTGGCATCCACCACCTGCCACCCGTCAAAGCCAGGTGGGAGGTCAGGGCGCTTCATCCAGCAGTCGTTCCACACGTGGAAGTTCCTGGGAGGGCAGAAACAGGTGGGCGGTGAGACCTGGGGACCCCCAGCTCTGCCCCTGCAGCCCCCCACCCCCCACAGCATGCCCTGCTCACAGCCCCCCTGCCCTGCAGCCCCGCCCCCCCGCCAACAGACCCTCCCTTGCTGTCTCCTGCCCCGCCTTTCTTGCTGCCCCCTAGCTCACCAGACTGAATCAGCGTTGAGCTTCTCAAGGGGCTTCATGTTCTCGTCAAAGTAGATGTCCATGGTGAGGCTGACGTCCGTGTCGTGCGCGGAGTTGTAGTTGGTCACTGTGCGCGTGGCGATGCCCAGGCACCGCAGTACTGTGGGGGCACGGGGGTGGGGAGGGGTGTCAGGGGAGGACAGCCCCCAGCTCCCCAGCTGGATTCAGCCCCACCCATGCCCCCACCCCTGTACCCCCATCTCACCTTCCCTCCCATCCCCTGTACCCACACCCCTGCCCCCAAAAACCCTGCCTGGATTCAGCCCCACCCATGCCCCCCATATTCCTACCCCCACCCTCCTGCCCCCTGCACCACCCCTACATATGCCCCCAATGCCCCATATCCCCACTGTCTCTGCCCCAATCCCCGTGTACCCCAGATGCCCATTCCCACCCTCATGACCTCCAGTGTCCTTCATCCCCATTTCCAACCCCCCCAGCATAACCTAAGACCCGCTCAACCATCTACTCCTGCCCCCTCCAGCCCTGGTGTCCCCTGTACCCTCCCCCCTCCCCCTGGTGCCCCCCATGCCCACTCTCTACTCATTTGGTGTCTCCTATAACCTCCCACTCCCTACACCACTCTCCTGACCCCCTATATACCCCACTCCCAGTGCCCTTCCATACTCTTCCTTCCACCCCCTCTGCCCCAGCACCCCACATCCCCCTTTGTGGTGCCCCCCGTGTGGGTACCACTGGTGGTGACGCCGGCGAAGACCCAGCACTGGCCATAGGGCACAGGCTGTTGAGAGCGGTGGTACTGCCGCAGGATGTCCACACTGCCCACCCAGGCCGATGGGTTGGTGCCACGCGAGTAGTCGCCCGTCCAGTTGCCAATCAGCACCCCATTGTCATCCAGTGAGTTCACCTGGGAGGGGAAATGAGTAGAGGGATGGAAGGAGGGATGTATTGGGGGGGGGGGGGGAGATGGTAGGAGGGAGGTCTCCCGGGACTCACCATGGCGGACACGACGCGGGAGACATTGATGGGGTCCCCGCGACCCGCATGAGGCATCCCACGCCGGTCCAGCATGTACAGGCAGGCGTCCAGCACCCCCTGGTCAAACTGCAGGTGGGGGGGCATCAGCGGGTTAGGTCCCCCACCCTGAGCCACAGAGCTGTCAATGCCCCCCAGTGGCGGGCACCCAGGGGGGCTGGACCCTGTATGGCCCCAGCTTCCTTGTGTCCGACTGCCACTTCCCCCCCACCTCCAGTCACCCAGCAGCTCCCCTGAGTATCCCTGGCCCCCCAGTGTCTCCCCCCAGTGCCTACCTGCCCATAGTTCCAGGTGCGCTCGCCGATCTGGGCGTCAGTGCCGTAGAAGATGCGCCCACTCTCGTTGAGCACGTACTCCTCCAGCAAGTTGTCATTGTCTAGGTACACCGAGTCCCCTGGCGTGGAGGGAGGGGTGAGCTGTGAGCTTCTCCCAAGCAGTGCCCCCCTGGGTGGTAAGCTTCTCCCCCTAGCAGTGCCCTGCCTGGGCTGCGAGTGTCCCTAACTGTGCCCCTCCAAGGCTGTGACCTTCCCCCCAACCAGCAGTTCCAGGGCTGTGAGCTTTCCTTAACACTGCCCCCACCAGGGCTGAGAGCATCCCCCAGCGGTACCCTGCCCAGGGCTGCGAGCTTCCCCCCCAGCAGTGCCTTTGCCCCCTCACTGCATACTCACTGGAGCACCAGGGGTTGAAGAGCAGGTAGACCTGGTGGCGGGGGTCGAAGGGCGCAGCGTACTCCCCTGCAGGGCTCCGCGTCTTCACGCCCAGCCTGTAGCACCCAATGGGGGCAGTGGGTGCCGAGGTGACCCGCACTGTGAGAGTGGTGCCCGTGCTGTCCACCTCCTCGGCCTGCCAGCCCTGCGTCCCTGCAGCGCCCACCGGCACCAGCATGTGGGTGCCCTTAGCCACCTGTGGCGTCGGGCCTGTGGGCACAGGCATGGCAGTCAGGGCCCTGCCAGGCTGCAAGCTTCCTCCAACAGTGCCATGGCCCCCCTCCCCCAAGCTGTGAGCTTCCACTAACAGTGCCCTCCCCAGGCTGTGAGCTTCCCCACTGCACACCCCGCCCCGCCGCACACAATGCAGGGCGATGGCACTGCCAGGGAAGCTGCTGCCCTGCACCCCATGATGTCAGGAGACTGCAGGTCCAGGCAGGCACAGCCCCTCCCAGACCTGTTGGGTTGTGCGGGGGAAGGGGGGTGCTGCTGGCTCCCGGTTCCCAGCCACACCTGAGAGCATGTTGGGAACACCCCCAGCAGTGCCCTCAGTGGGGTGGGGGGCAGGGATTCCCCCCAGCAGTGCCTTCAGGGTGGAGGAGATAGGGGCTGTGAGCTCTCCCCAGCAGTGCCC